TATGGAGGCGTATGAGTCGAAGAACACGAAGAAGAAGATGACAGGTTCTCTCTCACGGACTCTCTCTCTCTCTCTCTCTCTCTCTCTCTCAAGTCAATGAGGCTACCTGTTGGATCCATTTTCCATTGTTTTTGAAACTCAGTCCCCTTCTGCTAAATTTCAACCCGGGCAGCTGTTATTTTACTGAATTCTAATGTAATATACCAATACGCTTCGAAGTCAAACGTGTACTTCAGTGAATTATACTGAAATTCACTTGAATTCCATGAAGTTGGTTTGAAATTCCAATTAAAGCATTGGAAATTGATTAGAAGTTGTTGTGGAAATCTGTAAAAAAATTTAATGATAATTTTTTGAAATATATTCTGAAGCCGATAAATTTTAGGAACATTTCTATAAATATAAGTCCTCCTCACATTTCTTAGAAATGTCCCAAATATTTTCCAAGAGTAAAAGGACCACCCACATCAAAAAATTTATAGAATTCTAGTGATTTGAAATTTTCCCAAAATTTGTCCTAAATTTATCTGAAAATTTTATATAGAAATCTAGTTTTTGGATGACGACTCCTCTTTATTATGGGAGTTACTTCTATAAGCCGATGAGCATATAGATAGAGTGATAGAGTATATGCCGAGTTCCAAATTTGGTTGCAAGAGGGATTTTTTAAGGCTGAAATCTTACGCATATTTGATTAAAAAAAGAAACAATACTAAAAAAAAATTGATGTTGAGTTCTTGCTAGAACTACGTACACGAAATGCATGGCTTGGATTCACCCGAAATGACAGGCTCATTATCCCCCAGTTGTTATGTGCGAACTTTTTATTTTTTTTAAATTTTTATAGCCTAAATGAGATCTACATGTTTGCAAAATTTTGGGGCCTAAAGGACCTCTACTTTTCAAAGTGGCATACACCATAATATAAGCATGTTAGTTTATATGATCCTTTTCTATTCATTATTATTTGACGTTGTATATGATGTTTTTTGTTCTTCTTTTAGTGTTTTACCTTCTGACTTGGAGGGTGCAATTCGACAGTCAAGTAATGCGAGTGCCCTCTTTATTTCTTCGGGTGGAATGAGAGCTATCGTAAGTCTGTATTCCATATGCTGCTTCTCTTGTGATGTTATCATGGTCTTTTTTATGTGCTTGATTATTAAAATGTAGTTCTACTGAATTGTAACATAAAGTTTTTTGTCGTGATTCATGTTTGAGTTATCAGTTTTTCTTACTTCTTTCTATGAAAATTTGTTCATAAATGCCTACCCTTTATCTTCTGTTTACTAGTTATGCAAAATTGAGTAGTTTTGGATACTATGATCCCATTTTCAAATTCATTAATTTGGTGTTAGTGTGAGCTGTCCCATTGCCTTTAACTTTTGTTAGCTATGCATAGTAAATATCCTTAAATATTGGAAAACCCCCCTTATTGTATCAGCAGCAATTAGTGACTTCTGTCTTATTCCATGTAAGCCTTTGTTTGCTGGGAAATTTTGGGTTATTGTAGTAATATTAGTCCTATTGAAAGGGGTTCATGGTCATTATTCTTAATTTTTCAGGTGGAACTATTGATACCAGCGCTAACATTTCTTGATGAGGAGGGTGCTCAAGCTGAGCTATGGGAATTATCAAGAATTTTCTTGGACTCACTTAGAGAAGAAACAGGATATCAGGTTCGAAAGGAGTTGTTCTTCATTTAATGGCTCTCAGATTCTGTTCTCTGAAAAAAACAGAAAAAAAAACAAAATGCCTCTAGTTCATATTATTCTGTTGTAATTGAATGTTATTCTTGTAATGGGGCTTATAAATTTACATCACTTGGTTGTGTGCTGTTTGGGTTTTCTAGGGACCAGTATCTGCTGGTGCTTTGTTGGTCATTAAGTTCGTTTGTGCATTCAATATCGCAAGAAGATATTGCTTTGCTGCTTATGACTTGCGCACATTATATTGTCCAGATTGTATCTTTGCATTTAGACATATGGCTATATTTGCTTTCTATGCAATGCCATGCACACATTTTAATCTGAACAAATCTTCTTAAAGATTATATTGAAATCTGATAATTGCTAGAGTTCTACATACCACATTTTCACAATATGGTATATGCCTTATTTTATTTTCACTTTTCTATGCCTGTAATTGATATTATTAGATTTCTGATTAGATGGGGTTAATACATAGAGAATAAAAGCCATTTTCCCTGATGCTGGAGCAGCTGCACTTTTAAAATATCGGTGGGAAGATGCTCCTTTTGGTTTTGCCAGGTAAACACTGTCATCAACCGAATGCTTTTTGTATTATGCCGTTCTATGTTTTTTGAGGGACAGCCATTTCACTGTTTTCTGTAGTCATCTTGTAATCTTACATTCTTTCTAGACGACTCTGCCACTCCACAGGGATTTTAAAATCTTAGTTCTTTCTAGATGTCTGTGCTACTTACAAGGGATCCAGGTGAATAATACCTTAGATGAAAGATTCAACAATAAAAGACAAATGAACTTTTCAAGGATAATTAAGTCAATTTTCAAAATTCTAAACTTCCATAATGTAAAGCTTGTGTACCACCTTTTCTGAAGTCTTCCTTCTGAATTCGGTGAATTTGGATGATTTGCTCTTGTTTCACGGTAATCGTCGTCTACAGTTGACTGTGAACAGATGAAGTAATGATCAGGATTGTGTTGGAGTTTTACATTCCTATGAAATTGACATTATTCCCAGATACTGGGATTGTTGTATCTGACCATGATCCTTGTTTAAAGGTTTGGACATTTTAGTGTTCTCTTCTTACGATGCAAGTTATCTTAATTTCAATTATGACTCTTTTCTTCCATAATGCTTTGTATGTCGTTATTTGTCAAGTTGGAAACCTTATTCATTGTTAGAAAGTAGACACTGTTTGTCCTTTTTTTTGTTGTATGGACAGGGATGTTTCTTGGCCATGGGGCCAGTATAAAGTAATGGTCTAGAACAAATAACATACTAACCACCCACATCCCCCCCTCACCCCCAGAAAACAAGAAGGGAAAAACCAAGTCTAGAACAGCAACTGCAATTTCATCTCCCATATATTGTTTTAGTCCTAATATTATCAATAAGTTTGGTTGCAACAAGTAAATGCAGTTATCACCAGATGTCTAATCCAATTGAACATAAAACCCATTGATTTTACTTGGATGTAATAATCACCAAGGTTTATTTGTTTTCACTTTAACAGCTTAAGTGACAGAAGGCCAGTACAACGTGAAGACGAGATTGTAGTCATGGTTGTTCCTGATTATCAGATGTTGGAATATGTTGAGCGAATTGCATCTCAACTCTCTGATGAGCCGGTACAGATCCTCTTCATATGTATGAGTTTACCCATATGTCTGTGCTCATGGTAATATGCTTCAGCAATAAAGAATTTTTAAGAACCTTATTTCAGTTTTCAACCATAAAGAACGTTAGGTCCAAGAACTCTTTAATGTTTCTTCTTGTGTTGTTCAACAGCAAGGATTCAAGTTTGGATGTAGTGAAAACTCTATTGTTATATTCTTGCTAGTTAGACTTGGATATCTAAGTAAGAATGTATGGAGCAGATCTTGGAAATTCTCTGAGTTTTGAATGATCTGTTGGAACGTTAAAAAGTTATATAGCATTCTTGTCATTGTAGATGGGGAAAGCATTGACAAGCTTACTTTAATTAATGAGCTGCTTTCGTTCGGGACATAGACGTGTTTTTGCAATATTTTCTCCTTCGTCACATGGGCATATCGACAGTATTTTTTCTCTGTTACAGTTTCGAGGTTAGGAAGGGTGCTTATCCTTACCATGTCTTGCTGCTTTTATGTTGCTAGCCAAGACCTCTCATCATGTGGAATCCACGACTTATCAGTGAAGATGTAGGAGTTGGTTATAATGTTAGAAAGCTGCGGAGATACTTCTTAAGGTAATCCTCCAATATCAAAACTAATGCAAATGCAAGTGGAGAAAATCAACCTTTTTGTTGCTTTGCAAAAAAAACAAAAATCGTAGAAGCAATCTTTTTAACAATAACAATAAATGGTAATCAATACAATCCATAATGATCATATTATTCAATCCTTTGCAAAAGTTTGCCTGACAACATCTCAATGCTTTTGACAACAATGCTTGTATTACTTGATATTACTGATGCTTTCGGATTTGGTCTTTTGCTTCAAAGAATATGCAGGCTAGAACAGTTATATTTCAGTTTTTCTCCTCTTCTTTTTATAATCGTCACTTCTTGGTTTTGGCAGCTCTTTCACAACTGTATATTCCATGAAGCCTTTGCCATCTGGTGCAGTGTTCAGATGCTATCCGGGGTAACAGAAAAACCTTTATTTTATTTTGCTGCCAGCCAAGTGTGCCTGGTTTTTGAAAGATATTGTACTAAGATTTTAAAGTTCTTCTACTAACATTTCATTTATGAAAATTTTCAAGGCTATGGAAGGTTTTCTATGATGATAAGGAGAGGCCAAACCGGTATTTACTTGCCAAAGAGCAACCTAATCGTCCTGATGCAGATGAGCTAGATGTATGTTTCTAGTGCTTTCCAATTCTTGTAGTTGATATGGTAGTTTCATGCTCCTATGTTATGACAATTATGGGACTAAGATAAAGTGCTGGCCTTCCCTCATTGAAGATGAAAAGAGACTGGTTCCTGGAATGGGCATAGTATCATCAAACAAGGTTTCCTGTACATCAGGAAAACGCAAACTTAGAGCTTCAAAGAAACCTTCTGATCACTTTTCGCTCTCTGTGACCTCATCATCCTCCCTAATTCTCTTTGTTTTTCTAATTGATCTACGTAGAAAAGGAAATATAATCTACCACCAGTTTCAAAGTTATTAACAAATGCCTGAGGCCTGTTTCAAATTTCAGAAGTTTCAGCAGTTATCCCGAGATTTTTACAAAATCAATCCTTTAAATAACAAACTCGTAGAAGTTAAAACCCTATAAATCAGTGATTCAAAAGTCATCGATCCAAATCAAAATAGGCCGAGTTGGATTGGAACCAGGAGGCTGACGATTCCAGATAAAAAAATCCCTATAATCTCCTGAATATCCTTTTTCTTTTTTTTTGGTTAACTGTGGCCTGGTCTCACTTGGGTATCTTCCTAGTCGAACTGAGGGAATTGGAATTAGACCCCTGTCAAATTGGAGCCCGGTTTCGATTTTTGAAACACTATCATACAATAGTTTCTTTTCCTCCTAAGGATGGGGGTGGCTTCCTCTCTCTCTCTCTCACACACACACACACACACACACTAAATGCTTGCATTGAAGAGGTGAGGTAATTCTGACTTCTTGTATTTTCTATTGTAGCTAATATTTGGGGATGTGGCTGAGAAGTCAGAGAAAGGCCCCTCTTTGCTGACTGCGGCTATGGGTATGTTTTCTTCATTAAACCGCTTTGTTAAAGCCATCTCTAAATGATTTGTGCACAGTGTATTTCCAAATGGATAACATAGGTTTCACTTCCTTTTGTTCTCTCTTCCTTTATGGATGTATAATGCTGAGGTTTATGTTAGTGTTTAATGAGAAAGAAAAAAGGTGACTGTCATATAATTTCATGAAAAAGAATCTTTACTCACTTCTATAAACAGCATCAAACAGCACAAAAAATGCAAAAAGGTTCCCTGCTCCTGTGGCAGCATTTTTTTATTTTGCTCACTTAGGTAAAACCTAAGGGAAAGTATATAAAGAGACTATTTACCTTTGGAGCAAGGTGGTCACAATTAATATTTGACCATTGGATGTGAAATTGGGTGGTTGCATTTATTTCATTGATCAAGTTCGAATTTCAAAAGAAATTTTTTTAAACTTTGTGACACACCCATGCTATCAAATTTCATATCGGAAGTTATAAGTCATTGTGACCTCCTTGTATCACAGGTAAATGGTTTCATTGTATACAATCCCAAAACCTAAACTAGAGCTATTTTTAGATCCCCACGTTTTGGTGATATAACCAGAACCCACCCCCTGCCAAAAAAAAAAGAGAAAAACAAAAGTGGAAAGGAAAAAGAAAGAAAAATCCAAATTTTAGAGTGCCTGAAAAAACGAACTTCAAAATATTGAACAAGGTTTTTCCTACTTTTTGGGTAACATCTTAGGTGTTTAAATTTTTTAAAATATGTTATTTTCTTTTGAGAATAACATATATGGCTATTCTTAGGAGGATCACAAAATTTTAAATCGAAAAAAACAAATCCTTCAAAGTACCTAGGGAGAAAGTGGGCAGTATACTTCTGTGGGATCATATGATATATGGAAAAGGAATTTACTCACTTTAATGAATGATTAGTGTTAGTATAGACACGATTTGAGGTGTCTGGCTATTATTAAGAACGCTAGTTACTCTTTGGCTTTGAGCTCTGTATTCCATGTGGAAATAATGAGAAGTGATAAGAGGCTACATTTAATTAACGATCTGAAGTATCAATTAGATGGAAACAGAAATTCATCATAACTTGAAAAATGTGAATGATTTCTAGTTAGGCGTTACACTTGTGAAGTTTACAACGGAATAAACTGTATCTAAATTGTTGTTTTTTATAAGAATATCAGGGTTAGTAAGAGTGAGTGATATAGAGAATGTTATCAGATTTTCTTTGGAAAGTTTTTTGTTTGGCCAAGAAAGAAAATGTTTCGGTGTTTTAGCATATTCAATTCAGGGAAAGTCTTTGCGTGCATTATAAAGTAAAAATTAAGGGATAAAAATTAAGGGATTGTCTACATAGATATCATTTATCTTTCATACATGGAGGTTGCTATCATTCTCACTCATTAAATATCAAATTGAATGTCTTGAATTTTTTTTCTTTTTGAAACTTTGTATATATTCGATGACAATCTTACAATCGAAATTTAAAAGATACAAGTGATTGTGACCTTTTGTACAAAAGATAAATAGTCCCTTTATAGACAATCCCTTAGAGTGTGTTTGTTTTTATGAAAGTATTATTTCAGATTTTGAAAAAGTTCCACATTTGTTTCTCACTTTTCATGAAAAGCTCATAAACTAATCTACCAATAAAAATTCTCATTCATTTGTTAAAAAGTGAAAGATTAAGTTCCTAAAAGAGATAAAAATTTAATCTTTCATAACTTTTTTGTTGATCACTATTCAGTATGCATAATATAAATATATAATATTAGTATTATTAATAGAGTAATGATCTTATGAGCCCCTTATCCATACGGGCTGTATAGGACCCCACTTTTGTGTTATAAGATGTACATTCATATCTCGAGAAAAAAATGGGACGCCAGCTCACAGGTAAAAGGTGTAAAATGGTCAAAGTTAAAAACAGAAAAAAAAAAAAATACAATCCCATGTTTTGCAATGGATATAAACACTCTCTTCCCCGGTGAAGCTCTCTCTCTCACTCACTCACTCACTCACTCAGGTGGATTAAAAACTAAATAATTGAGAGCACATTCTCCAGCCTATTTTGCGATCAGAGAAGCCACACGGAACTATTGACAATCAAGCTTCGAGACCCCTTTGGCCTTTTTCTTTCTCTTCATTGATTTTAGGTAGCTTCAATTACAAGACTTCTGACAAGATTGGGTGGCCGGAAAAGGGGTTACTGTAGATATGAAAAACAATCCACGAAAACAAAAAAAAAGAAACAAACACAAAAGAAAGACAATCAACCACAACGTAAAAATGTAAAGATATACCTGATTTTACAACATGCCTATGTTCATGGGAGATGAGAGATTCTTTACTGGCAATAGGGAATAAGGTTATAATAGCTCTTTTCTTCACGCTTATTTGTTATCTCTTATTACAAAGCAATCCTTGTTTTCCCTTAACCCTTAAAAGAACCCCATCGTTACAATATATATAGTGTCCCGTATAAATTACCAAAATACCCATATATGGATAAATACCCATGTTATATATAATACAAATATACATTAATAAAATATATAAAATATATTATATTATGTTATATATCTATATGGTAAATATGTATATGTTATCAAGCACAATACTTATAACTTTTTTAACATTCCAACAGGTTATCAAACATAGTACGTATAACTTATTTAAACTTTTTAGAACAAAACATTCAGCTTTCTCGAAGATATTTTTCAGAAAAACAAACGAACCCTTATAGACAAGGGAAAGTATAAAATAATATTATTTATGTTTACCTTTGGTACAAGGTGAGCCATTAATCTTAACCAATTGATGTGAAGTTTGGTGGTTGAAATTATTCTTGATCAAACTCAAACTTCAAAAAAAAAATTTTCAAACTTTATGACACATCCAAGCTATCAAATTTCACATCGAATGGTTGTAAGTAATTGTGACTACTTTATATCAAATGAATATGATCTCATTGTATACAATCCCTATCTATAATACAAGAAAATCACAATTACTATTCACCAATTGAAATTGAATCCAACAACTTACTGGTGTGTCACAAAGCTCCAAAAGTTTTCCTTTGTATTTAAGCTCAGTCAATGACACATCTTTAATCACTCAATCTTACATCTAACGACTTTGGTGGTTGTAACCTCCTTGTACGAAAAATGAATGATTTCTATCGTACACTTTCCCTTATTTTAATATACAAGGTTATTTCTTAAAATGTCAAATGATGTTGATATACTATTTTGAAACTCTATAAAATATAGTTTGATACTAGAATATTTAATGCTCAAGAGGCATTTTTATGACAGTTCGAACATGTTGGGGATATACTGGAAGTTCCTCCTTGTATAAGCTAACGGCCCCAGTATGAAAGGCTTTCAGCTAAAGCAAAGAGAATTTAGTAACATTGATATAGAACATAATTGTTATCAAGATTATACTGGACTAGCAATCCGACCAGTTGGATTACCAATTGGTGGTTTGATCTAGAATAAAATTTGGCTTTAGTAAAAAACTAGTAAAAATCAGTGTTTAATTGGTCCAACTAGCATGTTTCGACCGGTTCAACCCACCAAATAAAATGGAAGACTTTTTTTCTATATGTTACATATTTTAAAACTATTATTTATATTTTTTAAAAAAAAAATCTTGAAAAAATAGTTCGATTAGTGATCAGACTAGTTTTAACTTAGACCATACTACCTTCAAAAAATGACGTTTTCTCTGTGGAACTAATACATTGCCTAAGCCTAAGCCTAATCTCGAAACCTCATGAAAAAGCCTTACGAGAAGAAAGCAAGTCTCCCATCGTATCCTCGTCCGAAAAATGCTTTGGAAATGAGAAATCTGACTCTGAAAATCAATTTCTACCCTTAAGAAATTTGTAGCTCAAAGATCTTGTGGATCCGTGAACAAAATGAACGGTCTAGTAATGTTTTACAATATACACCAATGGTTTAAAAAACGAATCGATGATCCGGATCGAGCTTCCAAAAAACCGATCCGGATCAGGAATCGGGTGAATCTGTCATAATAAAGCTTAAAAAAAATCCGAAAAAATTATTAAAATTCATTATAAATATTATTTTTTAAGAATTCAATAAGAAATGAGGGTACTCCATTAAGAATTTTCATGTTTTTGAATGAATATGCGAATATTGATATGTTCTTTCCCTGCATGAACCACCATTCAGCATTTAATTTACATCACACAAAAGGATAAACATATAATTATCATGGAATAAGTATATCAATATACATGAACTACAATAAAACATAAAATTAGTAACATATGATCTAAAAATAAAATAATAGACGACGTTATTGTTTTTCTTGGTCACGCTGGTGGCATTGATTGAATTCGTTTAACAATTCATTGATTCGATCTAAAAACGAATCATCGATATTAACAGGCGTCTGACTATTTCCAAATCCCTGAGTGTTAGTGTTTTGTTGTGTTCCCAATCTAAAATCCCCGAAGATTGTCCATCCTTCATGCTCACCTGCACTGTCGTGCTCATCCCTACACTATTGCTGAATAATATGGCTGGGATAAAGTGGCTTCAAAATCATCATCTCTCTCATTTCCTCTTTGAATAATATGGATTTAAAAAAAAAAAAACATATTTTCAAAAAATCGATCATGGATTAAAAATAAAAATCACAAATTTTCAAAAAATTCTATCGTGGATTACAAAAAAAAATTCGATCATGGATTAAAAAAAAAATCACAAATTTTCAAAAAATTCTACCATGGATTACAAAAAAAATTCAATCATGGATTACAAAAAAAAAACAAAAAAAAAAACAAAAAATTCAATCGTGGATTGCAAAAAAAGAAAAAAACAATTCGATCATGGGTTACAAAAAATTCAATCATGGATTACAAAAAACTCTATCATGAGTTACAAAAAAAGCAAAAAACAAAAAATTCGATCATGGATTACAAAAAAAATCAAACATTTCGATCATGGATTACAAAAAAAAACAAACCTTTCGATCATGTATTACAAAACATTCAATCATGGATTACAAAAAATTCTATCATGGGTTACACTGTTCGGACTCGCCGATTCCGTACAGAGAATCGACGAGTCACTGTACAGAATCGTCCGATTCTCTCTAGAACCGGACGATTCCCGTTTTTTTCGCCGATTCGATCCGTCCATGGCGATTCCCGGTTCGACTCGGCGTTTTTTTAAACACTGATATTCACTATTTTTTGGGCTTAAAATTCTATTTTTCTTTTACAACCACAATGGTCAAGATGGAAATGATTGATTTGAAGGTTTTCAAACACTAGAAGTGCAATTTTCAATGAATTTTGAGGTGAAGCTTTACTTCTTTTTTATAGGGCTTTAGCCCAATCAAAACATCGGAAAAGCTGCATCTCATAACCATACTAAAAAACACAGTCCGAAACACATAAAAAATATATTCAAAAAGTAATTTAAAAATAATAAAGAACCAAACTACTATTCAAAAAGTAATTTAAAATTAATAAATAACCAAACTACCCCTAAAGCATTCCTATCTATTTTGCTAATTTTATTTATTACAAATTATCTTTAGAATATTTTTATAGATACATGATGGTAATAAATAAAGACAATTTGAGCTTCATCTAATGTATAAAAAAAAATACAATTAAAATGCACTATATGTTTTCAAAAAATAGGTCAGATATAAATTATGTAATATACATAACTACTTTGAATTTTCAAAAATAAAAAACGCATTTTATTTTTGGGGAACAATTTTGAACGACTTTAGATCTAAAAATAATATCGTTTTTAGATTGAAGAGAAACTGTTCAATTTAAATCGACGTAAGAACTTATAACCCCCTGTTACTTTTTCAAAATAGTCATCCAATGATTCTAAAATGGATTCCAAAATTATAGATTGAACAGGACCCCTAAGTAGCTCTTTTACCCAAGTATATAGTATGCTCCTATAGGGCACACAAACGATAACTCTCATTGAATTACATAAAAAAAGTGCGGGACCGGAATCTCTTTTGCTACGGCCAAAATCCAATCCCAACAAATGCGCCTAAATGCCCCACATTTTTCTAGCACCCAACATGACAAGAAATACCAAACTAGAATACAAAAAAAATAACATAAAAATGATTATGAAAAATGAAAAATGAACTTAGCAACACTTTAGGCCTTACTCTTCTTATGCGGCCTGGAACTGTGTGCCGACACCCCCCTATTCTCTCCCTTTTCTTTCTCTTTCAGTTTCGATTTCTTATCCACATTTTTTCGATTCGACTTGACGCTAAGAAGGCCACTCGAGGAGATCTTCCTTTCCCCCTTTAACAAAGCATCCTCAAAATCAGCCTCTCTATCCACAATGGCATACTGCTGCAGAAGTTCGGGTTTTAGCATGCCGCCTAGTTCAGATTCACCTTTCATTTTCTCCTGCAACCCACATGGTTGTAGCCCAACATCACATATAAATTCAGGCAATAAAGAAATGTCTGCTTTTGTTCATATATTAAAAAATACTTAAAAGAAAATAAAGAAAACAGATGGGATCATGAAATCAAATATGGAGAAAAAAAATACTCACGATGACTTCTCGGGCTGCTTCATCGATATCTTCGTCCAAGGATTTGCTGTGAGGGGTCATCACAACCTTGCGAGAAATAATGTTGGGCATGTTAGGTCCTGTATTCTTTGAGGAATGATAGAAGTAAAACATGAAGAAAAGGAACAGAATAGAAATGAAGTCTCAAGCTCAAAGATTACAATCTTTTGGGCTTCTCATATATTTTCTGTGAAAATGTGTACATAATATAAAGATTTCATTCGAAAGGTTATCATGATTACCTCTTTAAGACGAGGTAGAGTAGACTCAATCTCTTTGGCTGCAGCATTATGTAAATACTTGTGAATCTTCTTAATGACTTTATTGAACAATGACAGAATTTGCTGCTTTCCAAGCTGCTTCAGCTGACCCTGCAATTCAAAGAAGCCACAAAAAAATTTGATGGTTATAACCAAGGCAAGAGAAACTTTTGTCAATGTGCTAACAATTCGTCCACAATAATAGCTACAAATCAAATACAGTATGCTTCAAATTCATAATAATAGCTGCATATAATGCAAGTGTGAGTTAGATCCCCTAATTCATAATTAGCCCAAGAGATCCTGATTAGCCAAATCAGCCAATGTATAGTCTACCTAACTTGGTGCATTTAGCATTGGAAGAAGATGTAATCCGTGAAAAATCACCTGGAGATATGAAATATCTTGATGTTGCAAGCCCATGCAAAGTAACACTGCTGCCTGGCTGTAAGACAATGAAACTGGTATTCGCTCCTCGGAATACAAACGAGCAAGGATCGGAACAAGGTCAAGAATCTGAAATGAACAGGGAATGCCACTTTATGATGAAAAATTCCTCTCAATACAAGCTCTTAGAGTCGCATATCACACAATACTGCAGCAAATAGTACAAGTTTGTGTTTCTGCAGCAATATCTTACCAAATGATAATCTGCCAAATTGTTAGCATACGCATCTAGTCGCTCCATGTCATATGGGGTCAACATTGCCTTCATCCCCAAAATTCCACTTATTGAAGGTTCTTCTGAAGGCGCCTGCTCCCCGAAGTTGATCTTTGGGTCCAAAATGCTTATTAAGCAGAAAAAAGGTATCATAATAAGGTCATACCACAAAAACATCTAAAATCCAGGGGGAGGTGTGTGTGTGTGTGTGTGTGTGTGTGTGTGTGTGTGAGAGAGAGAGAGAGAGAGAGAGCGAGCTACTTTCTTTTTCGTTTAGGTAAAGGTTAAGTTTTTAGTAC